GACAAATGCCTCTTCCATTAATGTCCTCTCCATGTGGAATACATTTTAAAAAGAAAACAAAAATCACCCACCCCTAATACTCATGGCTGGGTTGGATGACTTCTTTGATTCCGGTTCAGGTCCTCAACCAGAGGCCTGGGAGCTAATTCTGCACTTATATGGAATAAATTCACCACAACCCCCATATATATTTGAAGCTTGATGAAACCTCCAAAGGGGATGGAGAATGACACAGCTAGTATGCTGTGGAACTTCCAGATACAAACAAACAAAATGGATGTGGCCAATCGACTGGACATTGTGATTATTACTAAGCAGCAGAGGATGGCTGTAGGGATCGACGAGGCCAGCCCAAATGATGAAAACATCAGGAAAAAAGAACATGATAAATATGAGAAAAACCAGGGAAGGGAAGAACAGAAAAGAGTCTGGCAGGTGAAGGAAACTGTAGCACTGGGGGCGATAACCTCCAAACTGGAGAAGTGGCTCCCACAGATGCCTGAAGAAGCCTTAAGCCGGGCGTACACTGTACGATTTTCGGGGAGATTTTCCAGTCGTGCGACAATGTTTTGGGGCCAATTTTCAGCTTGATTGTGCGTCGCGAGTCGTGTACTGTACAGGGGGGTAACGAGGGGCAATCAGCCTCTCACGACCACCTCCCGATCAGAAATCGTGAGGTCGTCGTGGGAAAACAAGTATTCTTCTTTTCGTTCTTCCTCTCAGATGTAAACACAGAAGCATGGCGGGGGTGCAATGAGTGAAATTGAGTTATTTCTGTAAAAATGACAGACTGTAATAGCCATGATTGTTCAGCCATGTCTTTGTCCAAATATGTCCTCACCTTTTCTTTTTAGGGCTTTCAGCACAAAATTGCACAAATGACCAAGGCAGCCCGTTTCACTCTAGTTAGCTTCATATTCCCCTTCTATTTGTTTAGCTTCCGGATAGAAGCCAGAGCAGCGCATCTCACTGCAGAGCTGAGTCCAACGTTCTTTTTAGTCATACAGTGTGAGCAGGTAGATCGCATGAGTTCAGGCCTATTCCATTCTATTGCATAGTATTATATTACATTATCTTAAAGGAGTACTACATAGAAGCTTCAGTATAAGCAGATCTTTACCCTCCAATGCACTGATCAGCAGTTGAACAGCTTGTGTCTGGTTTTCAGAAGCAGGGGAAACATCAAGGAGATCCATAAACATAGCAACAACTTCATTCTCTGGACGCTGATACTCCCCAGTGATGACTTGATCCAGCTGATGGGAGGGAAGATGTTAAAAATAACATCTGATTATATTTTGATAAACACTGTGATATTGTATCTTACTGTATCCTCCAGGAGAACCAGAGCCTCGTTGTCCTCCAGAATTCCATGAAGTTTCTCCAGTAGGTCTCCACGACCTGCCAGAGGCTTCAGACGACGTTCTTTCTCTTTTATCATAGCAGGAAACACAGGAAGATAACACAGGAAATTTTGTCATAAGGGTTTCAATTCAAGACATCCTTGTGATGGAGATATAATATCAGTTCAGCTTACAGTTCTGGGCGCAGATTTGCTAAAAAGCTAAAAATGGAACTGACTTTGTTTAGCAGATGAGTGGTTTCACCAAACTTTAAATTCTGTGACAGAATTTATCTCACACTAAACAAGATTTGCTTAAGCTAAAGGGTGTTAGCAGACCAGACCCATTATATTTTTCTTGTTCTCAAGGGTGCAAAAATTGGTTAAAAAAGAAAAAAAAAATGTTTTTGCCTCCAACTACTCATACTCCAACTCATACTCATACAACACTAACACTTCAGTGTAAATTGATTAAGAGCAGACGTGGAAGGAGTCCACAGAGGGACAGGAAGGCACAGAAGCGTCCTAAATTAGAGATATAGAGATGCAGAAGAAGAATTCATTGTGAGCTCTGGCAGTTTTTGAAAAGACTCCACAGTGTCAGGGTTTGGTTGAGATGTTGAGGACCCAAATGCAGAGGCGAGGAGCCAGAGGTGAGTTCTTGTAGTTTTAATGGTGTACTCACAGGCAACAGAGGCAGGAATCCAAAAGTCCAACATAACAAAAAACACAAAAACCTGAACCTTGGAGACATCAGGGAAAACAAACATGAGGAGCCAGGAAAAAACAAGCAACCAGCACTGAGGAACTGCACAGGGAGAGTTTATTCGGGAGACTGGACAAAGACAGGACTACTGAGATGATTGGGAGCAGGTGTGACCAGAGGCTTCTAGAAGGAGCTAGGGAAAAGGAGACCAACACAAGAGGGCGACAGAGGGCAAGCAAGAAAAACCGAAGAACTTAAATATAACCAGAGAATACCACAATATAGGAATTAAACCAATACAGACACACAGGGATTGCCATTCTATGAGAGGAGGACTTTCCCACAAGAAAAAAAGTGTGATGTTTGATTGTTTAACCCAGAATAAAACAGCAACTTAACACTACATTAGGACTGATACATGAGGCACCTCTGCTTTTACAATCTCATCATGGCCATTTAAATTCTGGGAGAATATTTGCCTGATAAAAACTGTTTTGTGTCCTTTTTAGATGTTTGCATAATCAGTAGTCGGCACATACACTTTAGACCTGATGCCCTTCCTGACAAAACCGGGGTTGGAGTCCTGGTCCCTTGAATTACAGTCAATGACTGAAACCAATAGCTGAAAATCGTTTTAATGAATACAATTTTTATTAGCTTTACCCACTAATTAATAAATCTAGCAAAATCCAGGTACAGTTGGACAATATTTTTTTGCAAAATAACATAGAAGGAAAACTCTTTCACTGGATTAAAACACTAACCTTTCATCAACGCTGGGACAAGCTCACTGTCTGGTCTTCTTCTCCCTATAAATTGGTTTGATAAGAAACTCACAAATCAAAATTTCAAAGAATAAATAAACCAAAAAAATAAAAATGCATACAGTACATACCCATTTTCCTCAATGAAATTTCAGGAGAAAGGTCTAAAAAGGCAAAACAAAAGGTAGAAAGGATGATGAGACATTTTACCAACAATTTTACATTTTTGAATGATGGACAGATGGATAAATTTCAGGTTAGGTGTAGAAACAAAGATTATTTGATGTGGTCTCACCTAGTTTGTTGCCCCATATGTTTATCTCTTTCAGAGAAAAAGCAACAACTTTCTTTTCTGGCACATTGAAGTCTGTCTGGCCACTTGTGTTTCCCTAAATCATCAGAATTCAAAACGGAAAAGGCAAACAAATCAATGTCATATCAACAGTGCTAAATTACAAAACATGTCAAATCTAGGTCGTTAGCAAATGCTTCCCCAGGTGTTGAAATAGAAGGTTCGTTGACTGAGCATCCACTATAAGGTGACTTGTATGGTTTTTCTTGTCAGACAGCAGTGAGTAGCTGCTTGCTTGGTGATAGATGCTGCATTCAGAGATAGCTGGAGCATCATTCATAGATACTAACAATGCAGCTCTCCAGGCCTATGGGCTGATGTCAACTCGACCCGGTTGTCTTTATCCCACCTTGGTGGTCACATGGGGCTAGGTGTGGCTGGTGCAGGCTCCAATTTCAGATGACTTCATATCAAGTCTGAGAAGTCTACTGCTTTTCCATGGCCAGGTGATCAGGCCTGAGGCTGAGAGAGTTCTTGAGCACTGACAGCAGTCCAGCCCAGTTGGTTGGGTTGGTCGCAGCATTGGACAAACAAACAAACAACCAAGGAGGGGCGCTGCACATGACCCTTTCCATCCATTTCATGGTGCCACCCAACCAAACCCTGGGCAGCAGAACCTGGCTTCAACATGGACCTGGCACCAACCTTAACATGCTATAACCTGTGGAACTAATGGAGCCACAGCCACTGTTTACCTAAGAGCCAGTAAAAGCGCAATACCGTGGCCTAAGGGATTTTGAATTTTCACTGTGGCAGATTTTCACAGAAGCACCTGACCTATTGGGACATCCATTGCTGAGATTCATCTGTTTTGTCCACTTTTTTCTACAAAATGCCATTCTGTACAGGCTACAAAATGCAGTTCCACACAGGTTTGGGTCCTGCTGCAAGGAATCCTGAACCTTTTAACTGAAAGGCCTGTCTAACTAAAAGGCCTTTAATGTCAAACCCATGGGGTGGTTACAATATATGCCTCACCCCTGGGATTGGAGGCTTTGTGGTAGTGCCGTTGCATCTTTTAGTGGAGTTCCCCTCCAGAAAGAAGCATATAAATGTGCCAGAGCTGCGGACCATTTACTGGGTCCTGCAGAACATCCTACCCTTTCTCAGGGGCAAGCATGTGGTTGTCCACACAAACAACATCTCCATGGTGTTTACAATCAACTGTAAGGGTTGAACCTGGTCATTGTAGTCCCAGTAGGAGGCTTAGAGACTCTGGACCTGTGGATACCCACAATTCACCTCCTTGAGCCCGATACACCTTTTGGTCATCCAAAACCTGTCCTGCTAGAAGCTTCCCCAGAGGATCAATGGTTTCACCCCCAGGAGGTGGAATGGATCTAGGTTTAGAGTTATAAATCTAAGGTAAACCTCTTCACCACATGGGAACCAGTCCGACTCCCAACTAAACAATGGAAATGCTTATTCCAATGAGGATGGATCCATTATCTCAACTGAATGACAGGGTTTGGCATCCATCTTTCAAAGTGGGACTTCTTTTACCTTGTAAGAATTTATGCATGTAGGATTTACTTTTATATACCATTTCATATTTGATGTGCTTTTATATTCAGTGTTATTAATTCACAATTTTATGTGCATGAGTAGCAACCTGGAATGATTGATTGAGTTCAGTTGATTCTAATCATTGCCACTACAGACCCATAGTTCAGTTGGACAATGAGGAAGGAATGTTTTTATAGCTGTTGTAAGCTGAAGCAGGGAGGTAAAGAGATGGTTACGGAGATTGAGGATGGCAGTGGAGAAACCCCAAGTACTTCCTTTTGGAATTTACTGTTGTTGTATGTGCTTGGGATTTGTTGAGCATTGGGATCACTAATAGCCTTTCCCCTAGAAGGGTCATATCAAGAGCAACAAATGGAGATTGGGTTAATAATAATAATACTTGAACTTTATTGATCTCACATTGGAGAAATTTACCTCTGCATTTAACCCATCCCCTTGTGTAGCAGTCGGCTGTCATCGTGGGTCGCCAGAGAGGAAGTATGTGGTAGTGGGGCTTGAACTTAGAACCTCAGGATTCCAAGCTCTATGCCCTAACCACAAGGCAGCCACTTACCAAAACAAATGCCCCGTGTAAGGGTTGAACTCACAACTTTCAGATTTTGAAACTTACTTAGTACCAATGAGGACATAACTTTGAAAATGGCCAGAGTTATAACGAGTGTTTATAACTTTGAATAAAATTCTGTTTTTAAAATCTATGTCAGTTTTCTATATATTTTTGTACTGTCTTAATGCTGAGTTAAACAGAAGCTCAGAGTCCAAAATGCATTTTACAGAACACAAAACTATTTAAATCAGAAAAGTAAATATAATCATATCTCTTGACTGACTGTAAGGTGACTTCAACTCTGAGAAATAATCTATCACATGACTGCTTACCTCAAAACCTAACGAGAAAAAGTGAAGAAGCTTTAATCCAAAGGACCCACTTTTGCAGGTCTTGGTCGAAACTTGGATCTCATTTGTGTTGTAAATTCTCTGCTTCACAAAAGCCAGTTTTTCTCCTTCTTTCATCTTAAGCTTGTGAACTATATTTGGATCCACTTCACTGTCAAAGAAAAAAGAAAAAAACAAAGAAAAAAGTTTGTTTCTAAAAGTGTGAGCAAAGAAATCCTCCTAGACAGTCACATGAGGACATCTGAGACATACTTACAAGGTTGTCATGGTGAGATTTTCCATGTCTTTGCTGCTGAATTGCTCTTTCTCAAAGCTCACAATGGACGATGAATCAATGCGGTCTTGGTGTCCCTTCAGTTTACCTTCAAATTTATCATCGCCTCCTTCTACTTCGACACTGCCATCGACCTCGCTACAGTTTTTGTAATCCTTCACCAAGGGCTCAATTTCTGGCTCTATACAGAGAGAGATCAAATAAGTTCAATATAAGTTTAGTATGGTCAGAAGGTGACACTCTAGAATGCAATTCTGTGAAAAAACTCCTAAAAGTTTGTTTCTTTTTGTGGGGACTCCTGTCTTTGTGTTTGTGTTTCTGTGTTTGTCTCCCTTCATCCACCAGGAGGCACCTGGTTCTAGTCCGCCTCCTCACACACCTGCTGATGGTTTCCTCGTTAAACAGAGTGTTCTTAAGCTGCTGACTGCCACTACCTCGACGCCAGAATGTTTGCCAGTTTTGGGTACTCTAGCCAAGCTAAATTCTGCTGAGTCAAACTGAGTTTTTGTCAACCTGAGTTTAACTTTGTTTTTGTCTTTGCCTCTCGACAGGAAGTCATCCTGCAAACTGGTTTTCTCAGACCTTCTCTCCCTGGAAGGATCAACTGAGCTTCAAACTGAGCTAGGGTTCAAACAGGAGGTTTGGATCTACTTTCCCCAAGAGATCATTTGTGCTTCGCACTGAGAAAGGGATTATTCTCCACTACGACCCGTTCAAGTACCGCAGGAAATCTGAGTGGCAGCCGGCTTCTCCGTTCCCCAACTAACAACCGCATTCTGGGGAAACCCTGTTCCGCCCTCCACCGAATCAGACAAACACTGAAACAACAGCATACAGACAGGAGTCAAGGATTCAACAACTTCTCTGGAAACGTGAGTCGGCAACCAAATCCTCTTCTCCAAGTTCACGAATCAAATTCCCCACTGAGCCTGAACTCGCTGTGTCTTCCCCTCACTTTTCAGTTCCGGTTGAGCAGTGTTAAGAGCAACACTTCTCTCTGCATTATCTCTTCAATTAAACCTTTTCCCTGGTCTCTCTCTGTTTTGGTTTTCTGCATTTGGGCCCAAACTTTGTAAAATCATGACACTTTTCTAAATACCAAAACCAAAGCCATTACTTCTGTAAGAACCATTATACTCAAATGTACAAAATAATGGAACAATGGAAGAAATTTTATTTACGTGTACTCAGTTACATTTTCTTAAGCAACTTTTTGAAAAAATTTACTTTTGGGGGTAGTTTTACAGCATTCTACACTTTACTTTACACTTTACAAAATGAAGTTTTTTCTCTATTTAGTCTAAAACACAGGAATTAGCATATATATTTCTGTCTAATTACATAATATTTAAATATAAATTAGGTTTGATGAGCCAACTACAGAAGCCGAGAGTGGTCATGTCCCTTCGGTACTTTAATTTTCTCATTATAAAAAAATAACGAAAGCTGTTTTCTCGTCATAACGAGATAATTGGTGTGTGTTAAAACTCATTAAATCTTTCGATACCACATTAGCGGGAGAGGATTTATAAGCGTTAGTCATAGCAGACTAGCTTTTTGGTAACGAGACATAGTTGTTGGTTTGATGATTTGCCTCCAGCTTTGATTCATAAGCTAATTAGACGTATGCCTGCATCGTCTTAGTGCCGTGTGTTTTCTGAACAGACCGTTGTTACACCTGTAACAGGTAGCTATAAAATGCATTAGTCAGATTTGTTTCTCTGTATTCCATGCAATCCAATCATCCACCATGACATGACAATAAGTGAAAAGAAAAGGAAAACTAAAAAACTGATTATTTGCGCACAAGCTGTACTGCGACTGCACAACTACAGGCACCGCAGGCATGGAAGGACTGGGAATCCAGGGCTGTTAGACAGCCTCATTCATTACTCATACAGATTAATCATCTCGTTATGTCAAGAAATCAATAACTGTTTTCTCGTTATAACAAGATAATTATCTTGTTATCTTGAGAAGGCAAAGCAACAACAAAAAAATAAGTCAAGTACGCCCCCTCTCGGCTTCCGTAGCCAAAAACTCAGTACCTCAGTAAGTTTTTATCCTCACTAAAGTAATTTCTTGGATGGCTACTTTAATCTCTTTCTTGAGTAAAGAACTGGGTACTCTTCCTGCCTCTACATGTGTGTTCCTGTTTGGCCATCTGAGTAAGAAACATTTTTCTTGTTTTTCCAGGAATGTGAGGTCTGGTTGTTGCAAAATGAGGTAATTTTCCTGGTTATCACAAGCTATTTTGCAAGGGGTTGGGTTTAGGTGTAAGGTGTGATATTGGGTCCAGTAAGCACTGGTAGTGGTTAGGTTTAGAGTTATTTCCAGGGTTAGAACATAGGAAGTGTTGAAAATGACCAAAATCAATGGAAGTCAGTGGGAGTCAACACTTGTTCCTTACTGCATTTAGCAAGATGAGAATGTGTGTGTTTTACAAACCCAGAAAGAGGTCTTCTTTAACAATGTTCCTCAGTTTCAGGTCCAACGGCTTGTACCTTTTCCAGTTGTTTAAGAAAGTCAAATGGTCCTTCTTTTTAACCTTCACAAGGGTCATCAACTCCCAGTTTCTGTTTAGATCTCTGTTACTGATTAGGTCACTGCTGGAGCCCAGTGTTTTCACCAAAGCCTTGCTGAAATGTGGAAACATGTCCTGTAAACACAAAAAAACTCCTGAAACCTTCAACAAAATACAAGGAAAAGAAAACATTTCTAAAATCAATAAAAATAAAGACGTTTAGGCCAGTTTAAAATTTATGGTTCCGCAAATCTACAGCATCAAGATTGTGCGCACTTCTTTTTTCTGCTTGATTGATATATTTCTAACTAATTCTCATGAATTCTGCTGCCTGAGTAGGAGCCTCTCACTGTTCTGTTAAATAATGTAGCCATGAATGTGCTACCCAATGTAGAGCTTTGGATTACAAGCAAGAAAGTGGTGATGTGATGATCCTAATCAAATGAAGAGTTAGAAAAATGTTCTAAACATGTCCTATTTATCAGGGGATGCAGTAAGCTCAGTTTATTATTCAAACTGGTCAAAAAAGTTTTCTATCTTAGGAAACTAAACAGATTCCATCAAGTCTTTGAGAATTTGCTCCTACTGGTTGAATAAGTAGTAATAGTGGTGTGACGGGGTTCTTTGGCCTCCAAGAATTCCAGGCTCAGTCGGGTTACCGGTGTTGGTGGGTTATTGTGCTCAAAAACTCAAAACAGGGTGCAAAAGAAACTAAACATTAACAAGAAACTCTGGGCCTCAGCCTCCCTCCAGTTACCAGCAATGTAACACAGAAACAGAAAACAAAATGGCCGCTCTTCTTCCCACAGCCCTCTTTACATTCTTGTTCCCAAATCTCACTTACTATGTATTCAAGTTCTCTCCCTTTCCCTAATACCTGATATTGTATCCCTTGCTTTACAATTATTGCACATCCTCCTCCACCTCCCTCCTGTCAATCTCTTCTTACAGAATTATATCGTTTGATCACAAAATCTAAAGTTGTTTTTAACCATGTTTCCTGAACACAAATGATTTCTGGTTGTTCTTCAAGACTGTCAATATAACCTTTAAGTTCCTGTCCGTTAGCTATTAAACTTCTTGCATTCCATTAACATATATTACCTGATGGTCCTGGTCTCCCATCTACCTCCAGCTTTTTGTTTATGTTCTCCCATGATTCCTCTTTAAACCCCAAAAACTTTTCAGCGCATTTGTTCACTCTCTCTTGTTTTCTGTTCCTTCACATTTTTAACTGCTTCTGCATAGCTTATGTTTTTAGTCATTTTAATCTGTATGATTTCTTTTGCCGTCTTTCTTACTTCACATCCTCCATATGTAACTCTATGTTGCCCTCCACAGTTACAAAATTTTTCTTGTACTGTTTTACATTCTTAAACTAGTGATCTTCACCACATTTTGGGCATCTGTGCTTCCCTTTGCAAATTGCAATGATTTTTTCTCCAACACCAACCACGTTTAAAGCCTTATGCATTTGCTCTTTATTTTTACAAACTACCAATAGGTTTCCATCTCTCAGAATCTTTACCATTTCTACTTCTCCAATTTTCCTTTTTTATTTCTCTTGACACCACAATGGGGCTGATGTTATCCTGTTCTTGATCATTCTTCAGTTTTAATATTATTTGAAATTCCTCCCTCACAACTTTCCTCCTAACTATCCTTTCTTCATCTGAACTACTTCCTTCCAGCTCTTGTTTTCTGCCTTGACTTCCCTTTTCTTTTTTTGTTTCGAAATTTCTTTATTTGGTTTTCCTTTAGTTAACAGTAACCACAACACCAATGTGAACAATAACCACAAACCACTCGCACTCATGCACACATACACACAAGTAAAACAAAGAAAGAAAGAAAAATAAAAATTTGGATAAACAAGAAGTAAATAATTGAAAAGTACATATCAACAATAGTACAGGTAAAAAGAAGTGTAGGATTTTCTTTCAGCAATTTCAGTTTAAATGACAGAAATCTGGCAATGATTTCCACGACTGTCACTTCAGAGCTAAACGAAACTGTGGGCCTCCAACAAATTCCCAAAAGGACAACCATATATCTTCAAAAATATCATGTTTTCTTTTTAGTGAATAAGTGATTTTTTTCCATTGGCAAGACTTGTACAATATTCTCAAGTCAACCTTTCGCACTCGGATTCAGTATGGATTTCCATCATAGTGAAATTGTCCGTCTGGCCTGTAGTAAACAGAGGGTGATCATCTTCCTGTTGGTGGAGTTGAGCTTAATATCCTTAGGGTATAGTCCTAGTATGCACAGTTTAGGGCAGAGAGGAAGGTCTGTCTCAGTTATAACAGAAAGAACTTGAATAACCTCTCCCCAGAAGGCCTGTATCTTTGTGCATAACCATAAACAATGGATAAGTGTACCTTTACATGTTTGATACTTGACACATACATCAGGAGTGTTAGCATTAAACTTGTGTAGAATCTCAGGTGTTATATATAACCTCATGACCCATTTATATTGCAAAAGTTTGAGACCGGCATTGCATGTTTGTGTACCTTTATCCGCCCACTATTTAAACCCCTTGTCCATTGTTGCAGGTGGAACGTTTTCATTTCCCCAAATGGGGGTGAACTGAGACAGCTTGGAGATATCATTCAAGTATTTATGAACCTCATGCCATACAAATATTATATTTCCTACAAATGGGTTGTCTGTGAATTTATTACGTTTCCCTGGTCTTGCAGAGAATAGGTACAGTTGAAGAGGTAAATTGGTAGATGTAGATCTCTCTATATCAACCCAAGAAAGGCTAAATGAGATTTAAACCAGAAAGAGGCTGTCCATAGTTGACATGACCAGTAATATAATTTTAGATTAGGAAGTTTCAGTCCTCCTCTATCGAAGGGCAGGTAAAGAAGCGTAAGACGAAGTCTTGCTCTGCGGTTATTCCATATGAAGTCTCTGAAGAGCTTGTTCATATTGGTGAAAAAGATTGGAGGTGGTGGAAGTGGTATGCATTGAAAGAGGTTCGACTTTGATTCATTAACTGTATATCCTGAAAATGAACCAAATGTGTCTATTAACTTCATCAGGTTGGGGATTGAATCACTTAATTGTGTCAAGAACAAAACTATATCGTCAGCAAAAAGACCTATTTTGTTCTCAGTAGCGCCTAGTCTGATGCCTGTTATATTAGTGGATTGTCTGACTGCGATGGCCAGTGGTTCGATCGCTAATGCAAACAGAAGAGGCGAGATGGGGCACCCCTGCCTAGTTCCTCGCTGGAGTTGAAAGGGCTCCGATGTGGCAAAATTAGTTGTGATTGCTGAACTTGGGGATTGGTATAGCATTTTCACAAAGTTGCAAAAATAATCGCCAAACCCAAACCGCCTCAAAATGTTGAACAAATATGGGTGCTCGACCATGTCAAAAGCGTTTTTTTGCGTCAAGTGAGATTATTGCCGTGTTTGTGCATCCCTGCTTTGCATAGATGATGTTTAGTACTCTATGGATGTTATGAAAAGCCTGTCGGTCTTTAATGAAGCCATTTTGATCAGGGACTATTAAGGAGGGAAGTTGTTTTTCCAAGCGTCTTGCAAACATCTTTGCAATTATTTTAACATCTGAGTTTATTAATGATATTGGACGGTATGATGCACAATTGGTGGGGGACTTATTTGGCTTTAATATCAGTGATATTGTCGTATTACATAGGGAGGGTGGTAATTGTCCCGCCTCGATTGATTCAACTATCATATCGAACAGAGGTGGAATCAACCATTTCTTAAAGTGTTTAAAAAAATCTAAAGGAAGTCCGTCAGGACCTGGTGATCTACCACTGCTCATATAAACAAGAGTTTCAAATATTTCCTCTTTCGTTATGGGCGAGTCTAGTTTTTGCTTTGCCATATCTTCCAAGAGTGGAATGGGAAGGGCGTCTAAGAACTTGTCATGGTCATTGGGATATTGAGCTTCTGAAGCATAGAGTTTCATATAATATTTTCTAAACGCATCGTTGATTTCTGAGGGACTTGTTGTAATCCCTCTTTCAATTTCAATTTCTGTAATAGCCTTTTCCTGGCTCAAAGTTTTAAGGCGCCAGGCTAAAAGTTTACCTGATGATTCTCCCTGTTCATAATAGTTCTGCTTCAGTCTGATTATCTTTGATATTGCTTTGTTAGCTGTTAGGTCGTTATAGTTAGCTCTTAGTTCTGTAAGCCTCTGTATATTCTCTGGGGTATTATTAATGGTGGATTTCTTTTCCATGTCTTTAATGTCGCGTTCTAGTTCTGTCATAAGTAGATGCATCCAATTAGACATGTGGCTCGTGTAGGATATCATCTGACCTCTTATATAGGTTTTAAATGCTTCCCACCTAACAGAGGCTGATGTTTCGTCAGTTTTTGTAGTGAAGAATAAATCAATATTATCTTCTAGATATTGTAAAAAATTCTGATCGCATAAACTAAACTAAACTAAACGACCCATTCATCGGTTACCATTTGCATGTTTCCAAGCAATACAAGGCCTTGTCCATATAAGACTC